CTGCCCTCTACAGCTAAGATGCTGAACAACAGCTCAACCTGGAGCTGGGCTGCCGTGAGTCGCTGGCGATGGCTTGGCTACAGCCCCTGCTGCAGTGGGCTGGGGCTGCTGTAAGCTTCCATGAGCAGCCAGCAGCCAGCGTGAGCTGCTAAGAGCTGCCGTGAGCGGCCGTCCAGAGGCCGGCGACCGATCCGCCTCACCCGGGAAGAGCGCAATGATGGTGCCAACTTGGGCCAGTGAAGCGACATCCTCCATAACTAGACTGAAGAACAAAAGGACAGCAACTTGTCTGTTCCCCTCCCCCAATTCCCCAATAAAATCTTTAAAAAATAAATAAATAAGTAAAAATAAAGGGAGGACCTTCACTTTTTACATTATAGGCTTCTTAGTGTCATTTGCATTTTTTCAAACAGTGGGAACTGGCTTTGTAATTTAAAAAATAATGAAATTGTAATGCACTAGGGAAATGTGCTTATATGGATCTTTTTTTAAAAAAAGCAGTAATCACCCTCCTCTAATGTGGCTGTTTTAAAAATCCTGATTTTTCCTTTAAATGGAATTTGCCGAAAGCAACATGCACCAGCCACAGAGCACACTGCCTGCTTCCAAAGTTAGGAAAATGCCCAGACTGCATTTCCAGTCCTGCCTCCTGCCCTTTTTGCAGTTATCACTGTTTGTATCAACAGGCCTGACGTCAGCAGATGACGCCTGAGCTTTAAAAGGCTCTTATTTAGGTAACATAGAGTACTCCATTAGACTTTGCGCCCAAGCCACATTTTGAGGGGCTGTGGCATCCGAGTTACAAGTAGGTAAGTGTATACACAGGTATATAGTCCTTTCCAGCCTTCCAGAGCAGTTGCACACATGGTCTGCATGTATCATTCTGCTCCCTGCAGCTGTAAAAACCTCACTGCCTACCCTACTTTATAGCTAAGGAAACTGGCCAGGCCCACAGCAGGGAAGGGCCAGCGAGTGACTTCCAGGACTCACCCCAGGGCCTTCCCTTTAGGCTTCAAGCTCTTCTCACTGCCGCTGCCACCCTCAGTCCCACGTGCTGTTCAAATGTTGGAGACCCCAGTCCTCTTTGTCTGAGCTTGTTCAGGCCCAGAGGGAAAACCTTGTCATTGTCGTGTTAAACTGGTTTGGCCTGTTACAGCATACTCTGGACTTGGCTTTTCCTTATGCCCCTGTCTTTGCTTGAAAGCTCAAAAACACAGGAAACCAAGATACTGGGGCTGATTTGGGGCTGTGTCCCCAGTGTGGGTTCATCCCAGGCACTGACATTCTGCTGACTCCATATGTAAGCAGCGTTTAGCCACATCCTAGTTCCAGCTTGGAACAGTGAAGGGGGTGGGGACCCCCCCCCCCGGAAGCCCAGTGACACGTCATCTTAAGTGCCCTCTGGGCAGCGGCCTCTCCTGGGCTCCCAGGCCCCTCTTGGTCAGGAACCAGAAACAGGTTTCCTAGGACAGCAGCACAGCCCTGACAAGGATGGGACAGTTAGGTTTCCCGTGGGTGCTGTGTGGCACTTCAGGGGCCAGGAGCATGGGGACCAGGACGCTGGGGCTCTGGGTCCTCGGGGCTGAAGCTCTGGCCTGAGAGAGCGAAGCTCCAGGCAGAGCTGCAGGTGCCGTCCTGGCAGCAAAGGAGCGCCAGCCTGTGTCCAAACTGACCCCATTCCAATGGGGGGGGGGTGTGTGTGATTAGTTTCCCAGGTAATGAAAGCTAACACTGCTCCAACACAGGCAAGGAGACACTGCGGCCATGCCCTTCTGATGACACTCGGCTCATCCTTGGGCCCAGCCAGGTGGGTGTCCTCTGCGGCAAGGAGGGCACAGTGCTGAGTTCTAGGTGGGCACATATAACCCAGAGTGGGGAGTGACGGCCAGCAGAGGAGCACTTAGAATTGAACCCCCAGTTGGCGGGGTCTTTGTAAACCGGCACCACAGGAGCTGAGGCACACGGGGTACCAGGAGGGAAGGAGTGAGCCAGCTTTAATGGACAAAGCGTGGCACTGAAAAGCGTGTTACTCAGGTAAAGTGGCCACCATTTCCTTTCTTTTAAGAGAGACTCTTAAATTCCAATTACTCCGCCCCCGAAGACCAGTTGAGGATAACCCCAACTGGAGGGAATTAATTTCCTTAGGAATTTCACTGTTGCAAGATTAATGGGGCCCCCTGCAGAGAAATAGTAAAACTGTAAGTACAGTAGATTTGCACCTGAAGGATACATATTTTAATTTCTGTTCTCAAGCTGCGATATCTTCTGGAGCTGCTATAAAAAGCATAAATGAGCACCCGCACGTCTGCTGAGAACTTGCTAACAGCTCCCCAGGAGGAGGCACAGTGCCAGCCCGGGCTCTATCTACACAGGTGGCTGGGGGCCCAGAGCTGACCGCTGGGCGCCTGGCTGGGAAGGGCCCAAACACACTCACCTTTCCGGGAGCCCTGACGGGTGGACCAAAGCCCAGAGCGGAATCCCTGGACTAGGTTCTCCTAAGGCCTCTCCCATCCCCACAACCCCAGCCCTGCCACCAACCCTGGCACAGCATTTGCTGAGAGACCCATGACCTGGATGCAAAATGGGGGAACCGAGAGGTGGACAGTCTGCGTTCTGCCCTCCAGAGCCCTCCAGGGGATATCACCCTGCTGTCCATCAGCTTCGGTGGCCCCAAGAATGGGCTTCGTGAAAGGTGCCTCCCAAACCGTGTTGAGACAACATGGACTCTGGGTTCAACCAAGCCACTAGCCCTCCCCCTTAACCCAAGGGCCAGCCTGACAATTGGGAAGCTCCAACTGTCACCCTGATAGCGAGGATTGAACCAGGACAGGGCAGTGGGAAGGGCTGTGAGGGCCCCTCTGTCAGCCCTGAGGAGCTGGAACTTGCCTGGCACAAGTCAGCCAGTTCCGTGTGTTGTCTTCCCAACCAGGAAGTGCTTTTCCTGGAAGAACTCTATGTATGCTGCCTATAAAGGTGGTTTATGCTGTCATAGCTAGATTTTTATGGGTTGTATTTTTGCTGTACTTGCTTGAAAAATAATAATTTTCAAAGAAAAGAAGAATTACATATCCAGTAAACTAAATAAGACTCCTGTTTTATGAGGGACCTCTGACAGCTCCTCAAACATGAAAGAAGATCCCAAAGCAGTGAAT